CACGCATGACGTGATATATTCGCAAGATTGTTTAACAATGTGTATGCAGTAAATACGGCAAAGTGTTGGTATGCTCTTCGTGAGTAGAGAAGAGAAAGAAAATGAAAAAAGAAAGGAAGACAATAAATTACCAAAAAATAGCAAAAGGTTGTGAGCCTCCTCATAAGGAAAATGCTTCCGAATGGAGCAACTGATCCCATGCCGTTCACAATGCCCTGTCTACAATGCATATCCCTGGGATGAAGAGGGCGTGGCTAGCTCTTCGTTTTAGTGCGGTGGTTGCACTTTTGGTGGGTGATGCCGGTTTAGTACAACTACTGGGCTGTTTATACGTAACATCATTCCCCATTACAAAGCAGAATAACAAATAACTTCAATGGAAATATCTACCGGAACAGCATCCTAAATCACATCCGAATGAAAAGCGCAGCCACGCCCTTCGCATCTCCGGGATTTGGAGTAAGTCCAACAAGATGCTTAACTGTTATTCAATGATTAGGCATCTGTGACGCTCAGGACAACGATTCACTCCCAATGAGACTTTCGATGTGAGGTCATTCTGAGAACCTCGCCCTGCACAATATATCAACCAAGAAAATGCACCGAATATCCAAGAAAATATAAATCAAATTCTGCTCCTTTTTACCGATCAAACTGTCAAAGTTCCGCACCGCACCAGTAAATGCAAATAGCACGCGAGCGTGTACACTTCTATGTGATAATGCCAACAAACACCCACACACTTCATATTAAGGGAAAAACATATCAAAGGAGGTCTGAGATGTGGAAAGCTAATTACATACATTGAAGGCATTAGCCAACAATGAAAGTGGCCACTCACCATAACGGGCAGCTTTCATCGCTTAGGACAGATGCCTATGACGCCAGAAGTGCGGCCTTGCGCTGCTCGCACGATATCCAGTTTTTCTGAGAGGGAGAAGCTACTCACTCCTTTTCTTCTGCGGCACATGCCCATGAGGAAAAATGAGCAGACTCAGCCCTAGTTCCGGCACTGCACCTCTCACCCTGCGAGAATGAAGTGGCCAATTCTGTTGCGTCAGAGATCGGGTAACTCCACAAGTAGCTCATCCTATATATCCTATACAATCCATCTCCCGGAAAGGAGCAAGGCGTGCACTTTACAGGCATTCTTAGGCAGGACAGGCATATCCTATCAGAGATTTCCACCCACCGTTTCTTCGCAGAATAAGCCACTCAAGTTTAAAGACAGCTCCCGCGATAAAAGTGTCATGGATAATTGCTTTTCTATTATGGAACAGTAGCTGATAAGTAATTCCTCAAAGAAGGAGAAAAAAAAGAAAGAACAGTCCTCGAGAACACCACAAAGAAAATTGCCTCCTGACAGTCACACCGCGCTGCGGTCGCTATACGACTCCTAACTCGCAAATCCCTTTATCACAGTTCCTAGTGGTCGCCTCTAAATCAGAACCCTTCCGCCCACGGCGCGGTTCCGCGCGCGGTCCCTTTGACACGCCTGCGGTTTCACTAGTTATGGGCGCTATGAGTAAGCATCATCCTCACTGTATGCAGATGCTATACATTTGATAGGGTAGTCCATGAAGCCTAATACGTCCTACAAGTGCGAATTCATCGATAGGAGATCAGAGTAAGGTACCTGCTCTTCTCCTGTAATATGTTCCTAGAAATCCCCATCATGGACAAAATGACCAACTTTGATTCGAAATTGGATGACTGAAATAAAAACCCTGGGCACCACAATATCGATAGACCACTACACCGCGCGGTTCAAGATGGCGAAATCCTAACTTGTTTTCTTGAAGTACGCTCACTAGAGAAAGCGAACACGACCATGGATGACCGTTTGATCGTCCTAAGGGTACCTGTCTCATCAAGCCATTCTGTCGAAGTGCTATGCAATTCAGGGAGACGATTTTCACCAATATGATGGGTTTTGCCAAATCATCTACTTGACAAAACCACTGGAAGTCGTTTGTGATCTATAATTTGAAACATTAGCTAAGTGCAGGTCGTCGGTTTATTCCCTGAATTCACATTAGCGGCACACTTTCGTCGAGCGGGCAAATCAGCGAGTTTCAAAGAGATTGCAGCCGTTGAGGTCGCAGGTTAGTCAAATAGCTGACCAAATTAAGTGGATTCTCGCAAAGAACAATCCTTCTTATCAGTCAACTATTATATGCTAAGGATGTTTCAGAAGCAAGACCGCTCACAGAACTTTCGAAGAAAGTTGCCATCCACTTCACGCTGTTTTTTGCGTATCCGAATCATTCCAATGCTTTTCGATGCCCATTCTTCATTTTTGTTGCGCTTCTTTATATTCAATAATGTGAAAGCTTTATAAGTCTGTGAAAAACCATTAAACTACATTGGTGGCCACTACTTCCAACCTTAACATTTCATTCCCTAGCATTCTCACGAGCTGTCGATGACTTCCGTCACGACTCTTTTTAAAGGGGGTCGCGAGTTACGGTGGCGCGCGTGTCCCCATGGCACGCTAGCGGACCGTCGAACATCATCTAAAATCCGCTAGCGACGTTAGCAGTCGCCGCCGCACTTGTGCCTTTCTCTCAGTCTACGTCTTGCTGTCATCTCGCATTCGTCCGCTCCGCTCTGCCTCTCCCACAGCCTCAAACGTCATGCCGCTTTATTTTCCTACGTCTGTGGTCTTTCAACTTCAAGTGTATGTGGTGCAACGCGAAGGAACCGAATCGCCTCAAGGTCGCCGAAGTCCCAGGTAACCACTAGGAGCGGAGGGGCATCCGAACCTCTTGGACAGCCAGAGGGGAGGATGCTTTCGATGCCCCTAGTGGGCTGTTGCCTCGTAGCCCTTAGTTCTTAGGCAGTTCGGCCCTGTAACTAGCGGCCGTGTCTTCCTTTTCGCTATTGATTTATTTGTTTGTAATGTCATAGCTTATCAGTTATTCATTAAATCAATAATTATATGTGTTAGTAGTCCTCGATCATAATGACAACTTGTAATGCCCATGATTTATCTTTATTGTATGATTAGTATAGTAATTAAGTTGCGCTGTTATCGGGCTGCCATAGCCCTGAAGGTAAAAGTTATGTCGCGCCGTAAGCGTCTGTGTGACTACGCTTTCGTCATCCTTAGCGTATGTATAACGGGCAAGGCGTAGGTTTGTTGTAACATCTTGGGTAAATACCCGTTCAGTGCGCAGCGCGTAAAGGGGGCAGCAAGGCTATAGGTTGCGAGAGTAGCAAAAACACAGCACTCGCTCTTGCAACAGCCGTAGGCGAGCCGAGCGCGCAAGCGTTCTAAGCTCCCACGCACCGGACTTCGCCCGACGCCCCGACTCTCCTCCCACGTCAGGTGAACCCCCCGCGTCTGTCTTAAGTTGGCATTAGCGCGACATTTCATTCCCTAGCATTCTCCACGAGCTGTAACTATACAGTCGAGTCATTTCTACACAATTTCAACTTCGCGTCCTCGTCTCCTGCTCGCAATCTCTGTCAAAACCACGAATGGCAACATGCCAAAGGCAGCGCGCGCGACACGCGCCGTGCGACGGGTCTATTATAGAGGCGACCTTTCCTAGTAGGGATATCATCCAATGCAAACAAAAGAATACGAAAAAAAAACAAAAACACGGAAGGAAAATCCTTGAAAAGGAAAAGAAACTTCCAAGAAAAGGGCGTCTGAATTTAGGTTACCGTTGCTGTAGTGTAAGTTAGTCAGATTTGCCACCACAAAAAATTGGGTCCTCCGATTTTTACGCCCCTTTTCCTAAGCCAGATGGCGTTGGCAGTGGACTGTAGTGCTCCTAATGAATAAAAGAAATGAAAAGAGCAAATCATTCATTGTGCTACAAGCGCGGCCAGAAAAAGGAACGTCGGAATTCGATTCATAAAGCCGCCCCCCTCAAAACAAAAAGAACAACTGCACGGCTCTCCGTCCACAGGGCATCTAGCAATTGCGTCCCAAAACTGAGTGGTCCGTAAACTAAGCACTTCACCGGCGCTAGCTCCGCCCTCGCTCGCCTGTGATCGCGGAGCATCTCTAGGTTTGGGGATGTACTAATTGCACAAATAAGGACGACCGTGTACTACTCGAGCGCGGGGGCTATCTTTAAGCTGCTGGTCTCATAGGCGTTGATACATGCTTTTGCAATTGCAGACAGCTTTCATCACTCAGGCCACGCTATCACGTACTCTATTTTGAGTACAGATTCATGAAGCCATGTAGCCCTCATATGTCCTGCACTAATGTGATCGTGTAGTTTTCAACGTACGAGTTGCCGTATGAAAACTCCTAGCTAGATGACTCAAGTAGTGCTCTTGCCAGAATTGGCACTAAAGTGTTGTGTCGAGTCACCCAGCTAGGAATGCAGGCTTGAGTGATTTGCCGCGGCTTGGACGTCGTCCAGAGCAGCACCCCATCCCAATCTTGCGCGTACTCATGCAATCGATACCCACATTACACACCGATCCCTTCTTGTGGCCACTGGACATGAAAACTGCCCCAAAAAATCGAGGACGTGACGATTCACATGGAGAGAATGTGATTTTCACGTCCACAACACAACCAATGTGACCAAGAAAGTGGATCCACATCACAATTTTCAGGTTCACTACCACGATACAACGAGAAGAAGTACGAGTTCTTTTGAACGTAGCAGAGACCACTACTGGTGATAGGTTCACACAGACACAACACTTAATATATAAAATTTATGAACAGACTTATAACAACACATGCAAATACCTATCTATAAACTGCACCAGTCGAATTAAACACCATTATGTTAAGATTGCACAAAATACTACCAATCAACAGGAACTAGTTGCCCTTAACAAATGAAACACCTTTTTTAATGTTTTTGTTCAGTTCTTCAATAGATGCGTCGATCAGTTGTTGCTCGAATGGGCTCACCTGAAGTTGATATCTAGTCACCACCAGATGATCCGGAGACACGAATACTTTTCTGTACAATTACTTGTGAGGTGGACAGGGCCGTAGCTGCAATAGCGCACCACATTTGCCATTTGGAAGCGCGCCGGAATGAAGCGTGATGGTTGTGAAAGTGGGATGTTCTGCATGTCTCCGCCTACCACTATATACGCGATGACCAGGTCACATACACGCAACACGCCACGCGGCCAGCCACACACCTCACCATAGCCACACGGGTTACTTGTCTGTCAGCAAAACGTCCGCAACGCGACTTGTCACACAGTAGGCGATTAAATGTACACCTAGCTATTATAGCCCATCTTCATTTCCGCCCAAGTTAGGTTGCGTTCGTACTTTGGCTATTCTTTTTTTTTTGCACAGCGTTTCGAGCGACCAGTATATACAGTTATCGATCTAGCGTTTTGCGTAGCCAAACATTTCAGCGACTGTCCGCGAAAAGCCCAAAAGTACGCGCGAAGCGCCCAAAACGCTAGACTGTATTGAACTGTCACTTAGTCGCCATCAAAACCCGTTAAGAGCACGCCCGCTCTGCGCAAACACTGACAAGAAGTATTGACGCGCATCTTTGAGTCGGCGTGAACGCTGGGTACATTCTACAGCTACGAAAAGCGCTTGTTGAAGTACAGCATCGTTTGCAGAAAACCCCATCGGGACTTCTTGGGCCGCTGAGGGAGTGGTGGAGTGGCGTATTTTTCATAGTAGAGTACTATCTCATTCGGGAGAAATTTCCTCGAAAGGGAGTTTATAGTTCTTGACCATTTGCCATTTTTCTCATCTTACTGCGCTATATAGCCTTTAGGCACTTCCGGTGAGATGATTAGTAATGGTTTTAGAATCGCACTAAGTGGTGTATACAATACGAGAGAAATTTGGACGGGGCGTGTGAGGTCGTACGACCACCAATGCTAGCGCATTCTTGAGCTTACCCTGGTCTCACAGAAGGGTCTATCCTCCGCGGGGTAACCTTGTTCGATGTTTTCAAGGCAAAAATGTATGCAAACGATTAGTAAACGAACCTTTCAACACCAGATCATCTCTACCACTCATTAGTCCCAGAATCCAGAGGAGTTGAGAAGTATTCACACTTTTTACCGATCTGAATCGCCAACTTAAGGCACACATAATGTTCTTATCACCTTTGATTGCACGAACGAGGGCATTGGCGAATCGAGCTCCAGCCACAGCCATTGATAACGTTGCTGATCCCTTAATCGGAAGATTTTGGTTTGTTTTGTTATTCTTCCCACCACAGCTCAGAAAGTGTTATAATAAGGCGCATTCACAAGTTCGCACGAGTCCGGCTTGAGACCGCTGCACTTTTGCCCATTAAACCTACAGTTCCTTCTCAAGAAGCACCTACCTTAATTGTAAATAGCAGTTTTCCTTCAATACTACGCAGTTTCCCCCTTTCAATACGGCATTTTTTTCAGGATGTGGGGGCTTTATTGCGCCTGCTCGCTTACCTGACAACAAAGCACCCACACTAAAGCTGTCCTCCCAGACGTTCAAAACAGCATGTTGGAAAATACTGATGACTGGCACCGAGACGGCTTTGATGCTGGGTTGGCTGTTTACTCCCCAGATGCTCCGTGGCATGAAATGTTGGTGCAATAAGACGTACCAAAAGAAAATTTTCAGCTGAACCCCACTAAACCCTTAAATCGAAGGAAAAAAATCGTTCTAAATGCATTTGTGATGTTCTAGAAGGCGAAGGGATTTAAGCAGACAAAGGTACCATAGTTAACGAGGGAATGGGTACAGGATACAGATTTCTGAACTAAAGATGACCACAGCAAAGTGCTTGCGGACGGCAAAAGACACATAGGCAATTGCACTCTTGGTCGCTACTTGTACCGAAAACAGCAAGAATTCTGCAGGTCCCCAAAACTAAACCGCTCCCACAAATGACGCTTCGGCTGTGTGGGGGCACAGAATTGTAATACGCGAAGTTTCACAGAAAAAAGGCTGTTATTGCTTGATAACTGTTGTTTAACGCCGCAGTGCGCGATAAGAAAATTATCACAACCTTTTTACAGAACCCTTCTTGTGTACGAACCGTATACCTGTGGCTAAATAACCTCACTTTCCTACCGATTTTGATGCTTTCGCAAGGTTTAACGAACGTCCTAACAAATGGATGGACATGGCTATTCACAGTACTACAAAAAACTAGAGAAGTAACAAGTGCCTCTCTAGCCAGAACAGTCAGTAAGGAGTAAGTTCAATACAATTCGTACGCCGTCCAGCCGTATTGCTTTAACGACCTTTCGCTTCCGCGAATCTTTGGATCTTTGGCGGTCAACTTCATGATTTCTCTTCGGATGGAACTGACTTTTCGGTGTAATGAAACGAATAATCAGTCATTTGTCTCAATACATGATGCGACGTAATAAAGCTTAACGCTTTTTTCTCAGCGAATGAAGCACTTCCGCGGTGACCTGTGAAGAGCAGGAAATGATAGTCGTTCCCGGCATGTCTCCACACACAGGAAAAGTCCACCGTTTGAAGCACATGCGAGCTCCCTACAGATTAGTCAGCATTTTAGCAGCGTAAAAGAGCGGACATGATGCACAAGAATCAATATGAATAGAAAAAGTGTCGTTTCGCGCGTCCCGCACATTTCGAGATGACATTAACCAAATCGATTGACAAATGATGATAGAATGATGAATTGAACAATGACACTTACGAAATTCTTCCCAGTGCTGATAGCAACGACAGTCTCTACACATCAAGGTGACAACTCTGATTCACTCGTAAAACATTCTGCAAATAGAAGATCACCTTTGTAAGAAGAGTTCCATGACAGAAGCTCGAATATGGAAACCGTTACGCCCTTATGAGCGAAAAAAGGAGAGAATTACTTTAACTTACTTCCTTACAAGGTGACAGACTCCAAGCTGAACCCTTTAGTGGTAATCCTTCCTTAGCGAGAAGTGTCCAGGCCGCAAGTCACAAATACTGGCCTCCAGCTCCAGAACCAGTGACAAAGGGGTCGCTTCTATCATAAACTACGGTTATATACTATGTATTGTACGTTACGTCGTATGTAGCCGCGTTTATAATAGAAGCAGCGTCCACGTCACTCATTGTGGAGCCGCGAAAAGGGGACAGTTTTTGTGGTTACGTACCGGACTACTTGAGCAAGGAAGAAAACTAGGAATTCAATGAGCATGTGATTTATCTTTAAGCCAAAAAATTCTGTAACAGATCCTGTACTATGAACCATTATATTTGCAATTGCAGTCAGATGAGGTACACACGTAATTGAGCAAAAGAAAACGTACTTTCAGTTCGGCGACGAAAGCTTGCGCACGAACAACATCCAAGGTTGTGACTCCGAAAATTCGACGCTTATCGTATACTCCGTGCTTCTTCATAACTTCAGATGCGATCGGTACGGTTGAGTTTACTGGATTGGTGATAACAGCAATCATAGCCTGAAGCACGTATTGTATACCAGATGCTTGGTTAACAACGGCACTCTTAAAGAGACTTTCGAAAAAAAAAAAAATTAGTTGACGACTTTCCCAACCGCAAGGTCATTCACAATTCGAAGAAATTGGGTAGCAGAAATATAGCAAAAGTAGAAGAAAGAAACACATATCATAAATAAGAACAATAATTGACCACTGACCTTAGGAGCTTCGATGGCAATGACATCGACGATGTCACGTACAATACTGGCATTGGTGTTGAACAGATCATCACGGGTCATTCCAGGTTTCCTGGGTACTCCTGCAGGAATTACTATGACATCAGCACCAGAAACTGCTGCGGCAAGTTCTTTTGGACCAGTATGGGCTGTTACCTAGAAAAAGCAAATTATAAACAGTGACAATGGACGCTTACACCGCTTCATACTTTGCGACAGCTCGAGCATTTCGAGCGTACGGCACCGTTCTGAGCGACTAGGAAAGCATAGATATCGATCTAGCACTCGAAAAACGTACGCCAGCCTTTTGAGGTTTCCGCGGGCAGTCGCTAAAAAACACTGGCGTATGTTCAAAACGCTAGATCTATGCTATACCTTACTAATCGCACAAAACGCTGCCGAACGCTGACGCAAAGTATGAACGCAGTCTTACAAGTAGTTTTCATCTATAATAAGAATTAGTAAGCCAACTAATACAAGCACAGATAGATACACAAATTTTAAAGTTTTCCATTTACTCTCGTGTTCTAGTCTGGCAGTGGGGTTGTCTAGGCTTTCAGGTTTGGCGGGTCACTTACGGGTTGACATACCGAAGCTAGAGTGTAGATGAATTATTCGGCGCTAACTAACAGGCAAGGGACCACACGGCAACGCCTATACGTCCCTTTTCCTAATCAAAGCTGAGGCTACGTTCACACTTTACGACTTGACACCTACACATTCCTTGTCGCGCATTTTCCGAAAATCCCTCAAAAAGCTGACATCCTCCGAGTCGCAAAGCATGAAGCAGCCCTAGGCTTAATGGAGACGTTAGCGCCAATTATTCCACTCGGAAAATTCAAAAGGCACAACGTTACCAAAAATAATGACTAGGTTAAATTGCCAGAAATTTCACTGTTCACAAAAAAACATAGCATGATAAGGCGTACATGAGAAATTTCCGAATAATGGAATGAAATCTCGAAGGAAAACATTTAGTAACGCATACCTTAGCATTGGTATCAATGTGTGAAAGATCTGCTGCTACACCGGGTGTTCCTACGATATCATAGAGGGCAAGATGCTTGATGAGATTATCCTGTTTCAGGAGGAGACCCAAAGGTTGACCAATACCGCCAGAGGCACCAAGTAAAGCAACCTGAAATAATCAAAATTTGATGAACAAATGAAAGAAACAATTACATTACAATTGCAGTGTATCAAAAAATTGTGTGATTCTGTACATAGAAAACAGGGCTCTGACCTTAGCAAATTATCACTCGTTGAATGCAATGTCGTTTTGAGAAAATCTTTTTCGCGCGGAGTCACTACTGAATGGTACTCCGCTGTGGAAAACTTGGATTGTCGTAATGAAGACTTCGTTTAGCACGAACTTAAGCTCTACACCAAGAATGTCGCGCCAAAAAGAGTCGTATTAGCGACAATCAGAACTTAAGACGGACGTGCGCTAGCTTACTACGGAAACCCCAATTTCTTCCCCACTTTTTTGAGCCGACCTTCCAGTCGACCACCCGAAGTCCTTTTCTCGGGTCTACGGACAGCTTGAACCTACACTCTAATTCGCTGCGGACAGCTGCGCGTGTCAGGCAGTATGACTGTGTCACTCCGTCAAAGCCGTTCTTTGCCTTCTTGTTGAAGCGCGCATGCGACAAAAAGTGGTAAAAAACGAGTAATACGAACGTTATGATACAGTCATATCACTTGCTCGCTTTAACAGCTGGTGAAGAACGGATTTGGCCCTGCGCCAAAACTCATTTCGTGACACGCCTCAACCATCCGCAAGCGAACTACACTATAATCGCTTTAATCGCATCGATTTCCTGCTTTTCCTTGTAATCTCTTGTCTGCATGGCCTCCTAAATGATGACGATCTGGCACAGTCCAACTTTTTAAGCACTAATAAGTGGCTTCCTCACCCTGAAAAAATCCTTTCCCTTGCTCGCCAAATGTTTTTTACACCTCTCGATGCATTGGCAACCGCTGTCCTCCAGGTGTCTGCCGTTCAGGGTTTTGCAACAGGACCATGCCCAAAGTTCAAGTGTTCCCTTCCACATTTAGGCAAGAACATTCTATGCCACTACGGCAATCGCAGTTTTGCACGAGAGTCCTTCATATGCCGTTCTTCTTACAATAGCTGTATTTGCCGACGCTCTCTTTTCTAGCATTGATAGGCGCACTACTGCATATAAAACGAAACAAAGAAAGAAAAAGAAGTAACACTGCTGCTAATCAAATTAACCAGTCCAGAAATGTAACATAAACTGACCATTTTCTAAAAACAGTACATGGAATTCCCTATGCACCCTTTTGCAGACTGACTGGAAAATAATTCCCACCAAATATGGTTAGCTGATTTGTTCGGCACTATACGCCCTGTTCTTTTCTTCTTTCAACAATCCGTTAGAAGCACTGCTGCGTCAACGGTGAGGTGGGGAACATCCTAGGGATGTGGGAAATACCCCTTCAATGGCCCTCTCAGAGCGCGTTCAGACCTCGCGATCGCGCCATCATATCGCTCGACAGGATCGCGCGATCCAGTCGCGCGATCGCGAAGTATGA